GTAGTGAGGTTGGCCCAGGATCGGACATTGTTTCGTTCTGCTGTGCATGGGGTCGCTATGAGTCGGTTCCGACTCGATGGCACCTGACAACAACAACATATATATAATTAGTCTTATGTCTAGAAAAGACATATTAAATAATTCACTGCACTATACAATAGCTCTCAGCATTTTACTCCTCAGGTGCTAGTGCCTCATTACTAGGCACCATCAGTTTTATCCTTTGTAAATAAAATTTCCAGATAATTTGACACTCTATTCAAGGCAAAATGCTGTAATAAATTTAATTTCTAAGTACTTGTCTTCTTTGTTTAGAGTATCTTTGAGATCTTCCACTAGATGGCTGTGTTCTGAGTCATTTCAAGTGTTTTAATTTGAGGGTATTTATATAAAGGACTCCTGGTGTGGCACTGTGGGCTAATGCGTCAGATTGCAAAGTCATTTGAACTCTAAGGTTGGTGGTTCAAGCTCATCAGCTGCTCCCTGGAAACACTATACAGGGTCGCTATGGGTTGGAATCAACTTGATGGCACTTAGCGATGACGATATAAAGTTAAACCATACTGCAGACAATACTTCAGGCTTTTCTGTCTCTGACTAGGTAGCTAACTCTTACCTTTAATGTATTCACTTCTTGCAACTTCACTATGCCACTTGTGCTTTTATACTTGTTGAAAGCTAAGTATAAAAAGGTCCTGAGAGATTCTCATATAAATAAAGAGCTTTAGCGCATGAGCTTCACGCTAGTTTATGTGTTTAAAGGCCTTATGGCCATTAAGATTCTGTTGATGAAAATTGAGGCTCCTTGATATATATCCCAGTTTATACCAAAATTCAAATGATTTTAATAAATTTTCTTAAGTCATCTTGACCCTGTAGGTATTTCTCAAAATTAAATCTCCAGAGACTCCTAAAAATAAAAATAACAAAAACATAAATGTGGAACAAAAGGTCATAGAAATACACTTTTCTCTGCTTTAGTTATCCATTGATTAGTAACAATTCATAAAGTGATAATGAAACTGCATGCATATTTCCTCTAAGGCAGTACTTCTCAACCTTTTTTCAATGCTGTCCTTCTAAAGAGAAAACTTTAACTTCATTTACTAAAATTTTCCCTAACAAAAGAAATAAGCATAATTTTGTTGGGAAAGATTTGAGGGCCACAAACCACTGTAATTAGCTAAGATTTTGTCAACTCCCAAGAACCATTTTTTTTCTCTGAGAAGTATCATGCATCTTTTCCGACAATGAAGAAACAGCTCCCCAAAACCAAAGTGGAATTTTATTGTGTAAATTTTATAGCAATATGACTAGTAATCCTCTGTACAAAGTACACAACAGTTTTAAATACAACTGAGAGAAACTGCTAGTCCTATGACAACATTTGATGCAAGCAGAGCCAACCATTTATTTACAGACACACTTTAAAAAAATTTAAATGTCATCTTCTTCCTCCAAAGTCTTTTATGGGTTTCTTAGAGATGTGGTCCACTCCAGGCAAGGTCACAAAGGCATTTTATTGCCCTCAATGCTGATTTTCACTGCATGTGCAGATCTGCTTTTTTTCCTGATATCTGTGAACTTTCTCATCTGTTTATCCAGTCGACTGATACCTTTCTTGGACGTACCCTGAAACTTAAGAGTGGGGGAGGAAAATTAAAGAGCAGTAATTGAAACATATAAATCTAGTTTTATCTTTTGTTTTTATTTTTCAGTAAGTTACCTGTTAGATAGTACTAGAATTACTACAATATGCTTTGTTGTTATGTGCTGTTGAGGCAGTTTTGACTCACAGAGACCCTGTATCACCACTAACCTTGCAGTTCAAACTGACCTTGCATTATCCTAACAAAAAAAATTAAGGCTCTTTTAAGGCAAAAGAAAGTCATATTGAACAAAACCCTTAATTGTAGTGAGAGCTATAAAGCGAACCTATATGTACGGAGCTCTAGTTTCAGACCTGGCCTCTCCACTTCGCCTCAACAGGTTCTGTAGCCCCGGGAAAGTCACTGCTCAGGTCTGTACACCTCACATAACTGCTAAAAGTAAGTGAGGTAATGATGCTGTGTTGTTGTTGTTAAGTGTCGTCAACTCAGTTTTGATCCATAGCGACTTTGTATGGGGTTCCAAAGAGTGGCTGGTGAGCTTGAACTGACAACCTTATAGTTCAAACCAACATTGCAGCCCAGTGCATTAACCCACAGTACCACACCAATGATGCCATAATTAGTCCTTAAAGTAAGTTATCAGTCCATATTATTACCATTATTACTATTTCTGTGCAACTGATTTAGTTAAGTAGACTCAACACAAAAATCAATGTACAAAGAAAAGAAATTTAAGTTTTTTCATCCATGGTATTCAAAAAGTAGAATTTCTGGAAATGTAGACTTAACCTAATTAATGTTCAAATAAGATGATACTCCAAAGTTGATACCAGTATACTTGAATTAATGCTTTTGAGTCTGGGTACTTTCAAACTCTTCTTTCCTGTATTTAGATTGAGCCTTCAACCCAAATGGAAGATCAACCAAGGACCAGGCAAGAAACTCATCCTTGAAAAAGAGTCACGTTGACCATCCATCCCAAATTGTATTTCCTAGGAATATCCCAATTCTAAATATTTTTCTGTATTGATTTCAATTTCTGTTACTAATACTCAGAGTTAGCATAAAAATTTGTCAGATGAGAAAAAGCTATGCTATTGCCATCCTATACCCTGAATTTTTTGGACATTACCAAATATGTGCCTTCCTTTCAGGCAACATGACTTGATTTTTGGTACTTGTACCTAAGCCCACATTTGAGATTTTTTTACATTCTTGGATTTTTGCTAACTGCCCAACTCCCAACAGCTCTATATATATACCAAGCTAACTTCTCCTTGCCAACTCCTGGGGCCTACTTTTAAGAGTCCCTGACTGCTCTATTTATCCTCAGCAAATAGGACATACCCAAGACAGTGCCAATCCACTCACAGTATGGCACTGATCACTCAGAACTTGGAGATGTCGAGTTACTGTAATCCTGAAAACACAGTCATAGTCAGTATGTCAAACCTAATACATCAAATTCAATGCTATCCCTTCTGATTCCCTGAGTATACACCATTATTAAATAAGAGCCATGAAACCTGGCTGGTTTTAGTAGTGGAATAAAAAAATAAGTTATTATGTAGTCACACAATAGACTAGTATGAAGCCATTAAAAATGACAATTCTCTAAGGCAGCTTTAGAATCTCGGCATGGCGCTGTAGAATAAGCAGTTCAAACAAACCACTCATTCTCCTCAGAAATCCTATACAAGGTCACTGTGAGTCAGACCTGACTCAAGGGCACTTAACAACAGAAAGAGGTTTAATGAGGAGAAATGACTAAAATTATATAGTATAATTTTAATGGTATTTAAAATACAAATAGAAAAGCAAGCAAAATATGTATCTGCTTTTAATTAGTGGGACAGTGAGTGCATTTTTCTCTTCATACCCTTCAATTTTTCCATAATTAATACTAGGTAAAAAAACTAATTTGAAGCATTATTGGAAATATACATAAAACATAAAATGGTTAGCACTGGCTACTTTGGGAATGAAGGTTACTACATAGTATTTTACAAAGAGTTTTTGTTTTTTACTATAGAATCTGTAAAATAGTTTATTTGTATCTATTTTGTCATTGTTTAAACTATACACACAGAAAAAATGTAACAATTCAACAGTTTCTACACCTACAATTCAGTGACATTGACTACATTCAAGTTGTGCAACCACCCTCACCCTCCTTGTTTTGTTTTTCCTCCCTCATCTGACATAAACTCTGCTATCCCTTGAGGATCCTATTTAATCTTTCCAGCTGCTGCGGTCAATTTAATCCCATACTGATAGTTCTTTAAAAAGACCATAATGCTCTATGAAGGCATTTAATCTAAACTGAAGGAGCATTCTGGTTTAAGGTTTAGAAATTATTTCAGGGCAAGAGTTTCAGGAATTCATCTAGCCTTCATAACTCCAAGAAAACGTGGATTCCATGAGAATTTCAAACTGTTCTGTATATTCCCCTTTTTCATGAGGAGTCTTCTATAGGACGTGTGACCAAAACATTCAGCAATGGTAACCAGAACACCATCCAATTCAGATCACATAGCAAAGGAGGCAGTTGTTCATATAAGGAGTTTTTTAAAAGTTCACTGAAAATGCATATTATGAAAACTCGATTCAAGGATTTGAAAAAAAAATTTGCAACAAAATAAAGTCAAACTAACTTGTTATACATCTAATCGGGATCTAGTTTGAGACACTAAGAAAGGTAAGGCATCAGTTTGAAGAGAGTCCGTATGAAAGCAACACAAATTCTGCTAAAACTGAAGAACAAACAAACATCAAATTTATGATGAAGATTGGGTGGAAGAATGGTGAAATCACTGATGCTTATGGGGGCATGGATAACTCATTTTGAGATGGGATGAGACAATATTGAAGATGAAGTCCACAGTGACAGAACATCCACATCACTTTGTGAGCAAACAATCTTGTCTGTGCCCCAGCTGAAGAGAACTTCCAATTAACAGCAAAAACAATAACCAATACCAAACACTTCTCCAGTGGATCACCTTACTCAATTAGACTAAAAAATAAAAGTTGAGCACTTTCTGCTCTGTAAGTGTCAGCCTGCAGCTGCAGACATGAGCAGAGTTTTTAATGGATATTTTCAATAAGTGGGATCAAGATTCTGAAGCATTTCTTGAAATCAATGTAACAACAGGAGAAACACTACTTTTTAAACTAGTTTGATCCTGAAGACAAAGCATGAAACAATGCCTACCAAGAGGTAGAAGTGGTCCAGTTAAAGCAAAAGCCCACCAGTCAAGAGTAAAGGTCATGGCAACAGTTTTTTGGGATGCTCAAATCATTTTGTTTCATGATTTTCGGGATTGCCAGAAAACTAACCTGCTTAGTATGAGTGTTTTGAGAAAATTAGCTAAAGTTTTAGCTTAATAATTTAAGTTTACAGTAAAGCTCAACAGCACCTTCCTTCTGATTCTGATTTGGTTCGAGAAGAGTCTAGAAAACAGATCTCTTTAAATCATATAAACCTCAAATGCTCCAAATAAAACAGCAATTTGCATCTCAGATTAGCCTTGCTCTTGTTCCTTCTGACTACTTACCCTGGATGACTCCATTTCCACGTTCCACTTGGGCCTGACAACATAGTCCTTGTTTGAAGGCATTGGTACCCTCGCTCGAGCACAAAAGCCAGGATCTCCAGGTCTAAGAGCCCTGAGAAAGGAAAAGGAAAAATATGCTTCTTATGTAGTCAACCATACCTGGGACACACTATTAAGCATTCTTTTATCCAGGACCATTAATTTCTGCTGCCTGCCTATTTCAAACCTCCTTTACTCTCCCTTGTAACTTTGGTAGTGTAGTGGTTACAAGTTGGGCTGCTAATGTCAAAGTCAGCAGTTCAAAAACACCAGTTATTCTGTGGGAGAAAGATGATGCTTTCAAAGCTCCTGCAAAGATTTACAAACTCGGAAACCCTATGCAGGGTACCTATGAGTTGGAACCAACTCCATGGCCTACAACCACCACAAACACTCTCCTTAGATCACTCAATTCACCCTCAGGCTGTCTTAGTTGACTTCACCATCCACTCATATTACTATTTAAAGGAGAATTTCTTCATTTTCATGAATGCTTAACACCTCTCTCCTAAGCTTCAGAGGTAATCATGTCTTTCTCCTTTTCAATGCTAGAATCACCAGGGTTCTGAATCCCAATTCCTCCAGTCTAGTGAAGTTACTCAAGTTCACTTGTAACGTGAAAAATCAGAGCTCTCCAAATCATGCTCTATAAAGTACTGTACATGGATTTGCTTGTGCAACTCATACAGTAACTTTTAAAAAATCTTTTTATTTTGTGACAATTGCAAATTCACATGTGGGTGTAAAAATAATCAGAGATCCCAACTGGTTTCTCCCAACCTGAAAATCTATATAGTACAACATGACAACCAGAATATTTTTTTGTTGATAGAATTCCTATCAATATAATTTAAATGATCAGTTTTACTTGTACTAATCTTTGTGGCACTGCGGGTTGTATTGGATTGCAAGGTTGGTTTGAACTGCAAGGTAGGTGGTTAAAACTCACCAGCAGCTCCTCGGAAATCGTTTACAGGGTCACTATGAGTCAGAACTGACTCAATGACACTTAACGATTTGTGTATGTGTATTTTGGTGGGAACACCTGTATGCCCTTGAGTAGATTCTGACTCATAGCAACCAGGGGTTTTTAAGGCTGTATATCTTCACGGGAGCAGAAACCCACATTTGTCTTTGGTGGAGTGACTGGTAGAGTCAAAGTGCTGACCTTCTGGTTACTAGCCCAATGAATAACCCACTATGCTACGAGGGTTTCTGTGCATGTATTTAGGTATGTGCAATTTTATTACATATATAGATTCATGTATCAACCCCCACTAAGACACAAAACAGTGCCATCACCACTAGGTTTAACCCTACTGCCATTTAACATTCACTGTTCTTCTTCATGACTAACTCTTAGCAATCACTAATCAGTTCTCTATTTCTAAAATTTTGCCACTTCAATTAAGTTATATAAATGAAACTGTACAGTATATAACTATATATAACCTTTTGAGACTGGCTTTTTTCATTCAGCAACTGAAACCCATCCAAGTTGTTAAATGTATAGATTTTTCTTTTTCATTGCTGCAAAAAATTCTAGAACTTCTGATAATCACAGTGGAAACACAAATGGGATCACAAATGACAGATCCAGTATGTATGGCATCGCCATGAGATGCGGATGACTGAATAGCTGTTAATAATAATATTCTAGTTTAACTATCCACCTGCTGAAGGACATCTCAGTTATTTCCATTTTCTGGCTTTTATGAGTAAGTCTATGTGTAATGTCTGTACTTTCAAATCATTAGCATTCAGGAGGTAACTATCTTCCCTAATGGTAAATGAAGGGTATGTATGTATGTTTGAGGGAGAACACGTAGAAATTTCTTAACTGTTTCTATTCCCTTGTAGGATTTATTCTATTGATATCAAACCTCTTTAACATTTATATACATGAAGGGGCTTCAAAAGTTTGTGGAAAAATTACAGTATCTTTTCATTCCACTTTCTATGAACCTTTATGGAAGCAGAAAACCTTACCTTTTTCCCACAGAACAGGTGGTGGGTTTGAACGTTGTAAGTGCCATTGAGTCAGTTCTGACTCACAGCAACCCTGTCTGTATAGGATATCTGAGGAGCAGCTGGTGAGCTTGAACCACCGAACTTGCAGTCCAGCACATTAGCCCACAGTGCCACAACATGTACCTATTAACAGACTGATTGGGGGATACTTTTCAGTTGTGCATTTATCCACTATTCAGTTGTGCACTGGATGCTCTTGGGAACATAAGAATAATTGAGGAATAGTTTATGCAGTAAATTTTGTATTGTTGCTTGCTGTGTGCTAGACTTTAGTTAATGTGCTAATAAGCTCTTTGCTATGTGCTAAGCTCTGGGAATACAAAAGTGAATTAAACTTATTAGTGGGCTTGAAAAGTTCATGGGAAAATTGAAAGATAATGGAGTTTTTCCACAAATATTTTTCAGCTTCCTTATACTTCATTCTCATTCTCTTAAAAGATATTGTATTAGTGAATGCTTAAGCAAAGATGTGGGTAAAGAAACATTCAAGGCCTACATATGGAGTTCTGGTGTGGCGCTGTGGGTTAATGCACCAGACTGCAAATTCATTTGAATTGCAAAGGTTGGCAGTTCAAACTCACCAGCTGCTCTTCGGAAACCCTATACAGGGTCGCTATGGGTTGGAACCGACTCGATGGCATTTACCAACAACAACAACAATGTGAATCTAACATCAAACATATTTGCTATTTTTCTTAAAACAAAGTAGCAACCAGACATTATTCACTATATATGCTGCTGTTATTAGTGCTGTCAAGCCAGTTCTGATTCGTAACAATCCTGTATAGGGTTTTCTGGGCATGGCTGGTAGGTTTGAACCACTGAGCTTGTGGTTTGCAGTCCAGTGTTTCTCCTACAGTACATCAGGATTCCATCTTTATATTTAGACCAAGAAAAAAATTACAATAAAAGTTTACTTTGGGGGGACTTTTGGCAAATAGTGGGCTAGGCAGACGTACTACACAAACCCTCTACAACAAAGATACAAGAGACCAAATTAAATACAACACAGAAGAAAATCCTAGAACCCACAACTGCAAAAGAAAGATTAGAGAAATGGATTGAGTGCTTACTGAGAGGAGAATCTGAGCAGGGAAAATGAGACAGGGAGACTGACTGGTAAACAGCTGGCCAGACAAGCTTGACCATCTTAACTTTTGGGAGCAGCTTTGTAGACATAAGATGGCCAGGCCAAGTAGATTCATAAAAGCAATCAAAAAGGTACAATTCCTTTTTTTCCCAAACTCTTCTGGTGACCAGAGGTGTGGCTGGCTCCCACTCGCATCTACCCACAGCATAGATCCTGCTCTCCAGCTCAGAGCCAAGAGTCAGCAGCACATCTTTGGTGCCTGGATTCAGGCAAGTGTGGCTCCAGAACTACAAAACATGCACAGCCACCAGATCAGCACTAGTCTAGCAGAAACTCTCATAAATAGCCATCCTGCCTCCAGCTACTGTGTGTTCAAGAGACACTGAAACCAGCATAATATAGAAAACGATGGAAAACTCCCAAATTCATTTTATGAAGTAAGAATAACTCTGATACCAAAACCAGGCAAAGACTTCACTAAAAAAGAAAATTATAGATCAATATTCCTCATGAACATAGAAGCAAAAATCCTCAACAAAATCCTAGCCAATAGAATTCAACAATATATTTAAGAATTAAAACATGATGACTAACTCATATTTAATGAGCTCTGGTAATGTAGTGGTTATGAATCGGGCTGTGAGCCGCAAGGTCAGCAGTTCGAAACAACCATCTGTTCCGCAGGAGAAAGATGAGGCTTTCTGCTCCTGTAAAGATTTACAGCCTCGGAAACCCTGTGCAGGATCACTATGAGTTGGAACCGACTCCACGGCACATAACAACAACAACAACTCATATTTAAACCAAGCAAGTAGGGATGGTTCAATATTAGAAAAACAACCAACATAATGCACCACATGAATAAATCACACAATCATTTCAATTGATGCAGAAAACACATGACAAAATCCAACACTCAATATTCCTGATAACACACAACAAAATAGGAATAAAAAGGAAATTCCTCAACATAATTAAGGGCATATCCTGGGAAATCCTATATAGGGCTGTGATGAGTAGGGCTGACTCAATGGCACTTAACAACAAATACAAAACCACCTATCAACATCACCCTCAATGGAGAAAACTGCAGTCACTCCCCATTGTGAATAGGAACCATAAGGATGGCCTGATCATCACACTCCACTTGAACATCGTATTAGAAGTCTTAGCCAGTGCTGTAAGGCAAGAAAGGAAAATTAAAGGCATCCAAATTGGCAAAAAAAAAAAAAAAGCAAAAATCTCTGTATTTGTAAATGATGTGATCCCATAATTAGAAAATTTCGAAGACTCAGCAAGAAAATTATTAGAAATCTGGAAAGATTCAGCAAAGTAGCAGGGTACAAGGTCAACATATAAAAATCAGTTGGATTTCTTCACTAATAAAGACAGCTCTGAAAAGGAAATCAGGAAAACAATACCATTTACAATGGTGGTGGCTGTGCTGAGGCTGTAAATCTTTACGGGAGCAGAATGCCTCAACTTTCTTCTGCGGAACAGCTGGTAGTTTCAAACTGCTAACCTTGAGGTTCACAGCCCATTCATAACCACTATGCTATCAGTCACCCAAAAGATGAAATACTTGGGAATAAACCTAACCAGAGAAACAAAAGACCTATACAAAGAAAACTAAAAGACACCACTAGAAAAAAACAAAACAAAACAAAGGAGCTCTGAAGAAATGGAGGAATACACCAACCATATTCGTGGATGGGAAGACTTAACATTGTGAAAATGCCAACACACTACCCAAAGTAATCTACAGATATAATGTAATCCCAATCCAAATTCCAACATCATTCTTTAAAGGAAAAACTGATGACTAATGTTATATGGAAAGGAAGGAGACTCCAGATAAGCAGAGAATTACCAAAACAATGAAGTAGAAGGCCTGTCACTGATCTCAAATCCTATTACGTTAGTTCAACAGCCTGTAACTGGTACAACAAAAGACACATAGATCAATGGAACAGAATAAACTCATCTACCTAGATATGGTTGGGCAGTGTTTCGTTCTGTTGTGCATAAGGTTGCTATGAGTCGGTACCAACTTGATGTCACCTAACAACAAAAGTGACAGGTATGGTCTGGAGTCCTGGTGTGGCACATGGGTTAATGTGCTGGACTGCAAATTTGGTTTGAACCACAAAGTTGTTGGTTCTTCAGGAATCAGCTGCTCTTCAGGGTCTTTATGAGTCGGAACTGACTCAACAGCACTTAACAACAACGGATGGTCAGTTGATCTCTGACAAAGGGTCAAAATACATTCAAGTGGGAAGAGACAGTCTCTTCACAGTCTGGAGGGGAAATGTTAAGGTGTTTGATTATCTTGTGGATATTGATTTTCTCTGCCTATTATAATAAAATAGACATTAAGTAGCACAAAAAGGAATTTTGAGAAATATGATTACAGAAAGCACGTAAGCCCATCTTTAGCCTGTGACTGGATAAGCTAAACGGTTACTAGAATTTTCCCAGTGAAATAGGCTTCTTGTTAAGCCCTTGTGGAGTAAGGGACCTTGGAATCCTAAGCCCCACCAAGACCCTTCTGAAGTGGGGCATTTCTACTTGAAAGGACAAGCAAACCAAGCCAAAGTGGCTAGAGGAACAGAAGGTATTTCTTGAAAGAAAAACCAACAGAGAAAAACAAAAAACATACCAGAAACAAAGGACCCTAGGACCACCAAGGGAGAAGAGCACAAGCAGAATGTGAGACTTGAGAAGCAGCAATACCAGAGATGGAGGCAGACATAGGGACATGGAGAGAGGGAGCAGGCTGAGGACTCTAGATTCATGGGAAGAGAGGGACTAAGAGCTGGTGGCCAGGAGCAGACTTGCAGGTACATGGAGGGGATTATAATTATTGTAATGAAACAAGGTGCATGATTTGCTGAATGTAAAAAATCTGCCCTGTAAATTTTCACTCAATCCACAATAAAAACCTTAAAAAACAAGCAAACAAACAAACAAAAAAAACCACACTGGCTGTTACAAGATTAAGTAAGATGAAGGTAGCAGGATACACAAGGAGGAATGTAAAAGTTAAAGTGAATACAGGTAAATACTGTTAACTAATGGTACATGGAAGGGACCGCAATGAAGCAAAGTACGTGATTTGTTCAATGTAAAACTGATGATCTGCTCTGCAAACCATTTAATTCACAATAAAAAGTTTTTTTTTTAAAAAAATGTTTACTTTTCTTCTCCTGTCAACACCTTTTCCAGGTCTCTTCGGGGTGTCTGACCACCAGTGCTGAGGGAAAAAAAGGTAACCAATGAAATATTAGAACTTTTAGAACTCTATAATTGAGAAAAACAAACAAACAAAAAACCTCACCAAATTTAAATAACAAACTTAAAATACAAATAGCTTCTTTGAATTGAATCAGGGAAAACAACTCCCAATCTTTTAAAAGCACCACTTAGGTTAGTATTTATTTGCGTAACAGGTTTTATCACAGTGAACCCTATAACCTATTTGCAACAAGTAACCCCAACCTCCTAGATACATACTGATACAAGTCGGGGCAATAATATTTCCTTTCTCTTAAGAATTTGAAAATTGGATTAAGAAAGAGAAAATTGCTTTTTGTACGTGACATAAGGAACTACCTCAGGAAATGGGGGAGAGCATATTTAGAAAGTTGATCAAAAGAAGTAAAGCAGGGAGGGGGAGAATCATCACTATAAACTATCACATTTAAACTAAAAGATTATGAGTCAGGCAGTTATGTCAAACTGAGAGAAATGACAAAAATCTTATCATTTTTACAGGTCTTCTAATGTTCGTATTTACAAAAAAGCTGAGTTAGTACAAACATTTATTCCAATTACTCATACCTGTTCCCTCATACCTGTTCATTCTTCGTCGTTGAGGCATTTGTTCTAGATCTCTCTGCTCCCTTTCTTCTCTTGTCATCCCTTTGTAGTTTGAGGTAAGACCAAATATAGGCCGAGACCACTCATCTGTAACAATTACACAGTTTATAAAATAGTATTTCTCCTGCTAGTTTTTCAAACTACCTCAACCTCTAGGCATTTAGAATATTCTTTCTTTAAAGACCCCATTATTTCAGAGCCAGGATAAACAGCATTAATATCAGAATAATAACTAATTCTGGTTGACTCTGAGAATTATGTGTAAAAAAAGTCAGTTAAACCAGTAATAATGACATAGATTTAAAAGAAAGTAACATTTGACTTGCTTTGATATCCAACTAGATGTGTTGACATAAAAAGTCTAATTCTTATTTACACCACTAAAAACACAAAACCACCTTGAAATTCTACTTTCTTATGCTAACCCAACTAAGTTTCCTAATTACTTAATTGCCAAAATGGTATGAATCATTGAAAACCACCTTCTAATGATGAAAATGTAAAGTCTAAGAAAGCTGCTAAGGTGACCATGAAAAAGCACACTACATGCTCACTGTATATAAAGCTCAGAGTAATATTTTTGGTCTGAAACGTAACATGTTATTTATGAGAGAACATTTATAGACAGAAAAGTTAGGAATTACACCACACTAAGCATGAAGCTGGTAGGTATTCTCAATGCATCTTTTGAAACACCCCCCAACTGACCCCACCCTTATAGTCACCATCATTTTTGTAGCAGCCATGAAAACTAGTGGGAATATTCTAGCTCACTCAGTGGAGCAAAAATAAAGGTGGAGAACCACTGCATAAAGGCATCAAACTTTTTTTGCATTTTTACTATTCAGTAGTAAAATGCAGTTATTGGTAAGATAAAAACTGTAATACTTCTTTGGGTCTACAAAGAAATCTAAAGTTTTCTAAAAGATTTGACAGTCTAAAATATTCAACAGAAAAATAGTTCCTGTATTCAGATAACTTTTTGTACCTCACTTTGATGTTTTAAAAATGCATTTCCAACATGGAACACAGATTTAAGGAAAAAAATGAAACAAAATGGCTTCATTCTTAAAAACAAAACATTTCATAAACAATATAATGTATTAGAAGAATTTCAGTTACTCTTCTGAATTTCTTTGGCATCATTAAATAAGAACACACAAAGGTTTTGGAGACAATTTTACAAGTAACAACAACAGCAGCAGCAGTGGTGAATTATTTCTTCGGTATTAACTAAGGCAACTAAAGCAAATGGAAGAAATGAGAAATTCCAAGAGCTGAACAGAAAATTTCAAAGATTAGCTCAAGAAGACAAAGACAAATTTTACAACAAAATGTGCAAAGATATGGAATCAGAAAACTAAAAAGGAAGAACACGCTCCTCATTTCTCAAGCTAGGGGAACTGAAGAAAAAAATTCAAGCCTCAACTTTTGTTACTGAAAGATTCTCTGGGAAAATTACTGAATGATGCAGAAAGCATCAAGAGAAGATGGAAGGAATACACAGAGTCACTGTACCAAAAGGAAATGGTTAATGTTAAACTGTTTCAACAGGTAGCATATGATCAAGAGGCAATGATACTGTAGGACCAAGAAAAAGACTCCATTCTGAACATTAGCCTGAACACGTCCTCCTGTTCCAGGAACGTGCTAAATTAGCTCATGCTGCCTTAGAATATCCTTTCACCCCTAGCAACAGCAAGAACTAGATAAGCAATAGAAAAGACAACCCAAGGCCAGATGCCTGATATTTTCCTTATCCTAGCCTAAGAACAAAGACCACCAGTCCTGAACAATTAAACTGTAACATCTCATACTTTGCCAAATGTCAACCAATCCAAATATTGTAAAGCTGAAAAACCTAAGCTTGTTTGAAAACTCTATAAAAACTCCACTAACAAAGAGCTCAGGGCCTTTTTCCCGAGTCCACTGTGCCGGATACGGAGAAGGCCCAGGCTCAAGCTTGAATAAACAACCCTTGTGCACTTGCATCGGCGTCAGCTCCTTGGTGGTCTTGGGGGACCCCGAATTCTGGGCATAACAATACTTAGGGAGGAAGTCCAAGGTAAACTGAAGGAATTGGTAAAGAACAAGGCAACAGGAATTGATGGAAAAAAAAAAACTGAAATCTTTCAAGAAACTGAGGCAGCACAGGACGCACTCACTCATCTCTGCCAAGAAATCTGGAAGACAACTATCTGGCCGACTGATTTGAAGAGATCCATATTTATGCCCATTCCAAAGAGAGGTGACCCAACAGAATGTGGAAATCATCAGACAATCTCTTTGATATCTCATGCGAGTAAAGTTGTGCTGAAGATAATACAGAAATGGTTACAATCATACATTGACAGAGAACTTCTAGAGGTTCAAGCCGGATTCAGAAGAGGCCATGGAACAAGGGATATCATTGCTGATGTCCGAAGGATCTTGGCTGAAAGCAGAGAACATCAGAAAGATGTTTACCTGTGCTTTATTGACTACACAAAAGCTTTCGATTGTGTGGATCATAACAAGCTATGGACAACATTGTGAAGTATGAGTATTCCGGAACACTTAATTGTGCTCATGAGGAATTTGTACCTGGACCAAGAGGCAGTTATTCAAACAGAACATGGGAACACTGAACGTTTAAAATTATGAAAGGTGTGCGACAAGGTTGTATTCTTTCACCATACTTATTCAACCTGTATGCTGAACAAATAATCCAAGAAGCTGGGTTCTATGAAGAAAAACGTGGCATCAGGATTGGAGGAAGACTCATTAACAACCTGCAATATACAGATGATACAAGCTTGCTTGCTGAAAGCGAGAACTTACAACATTTACTGAAGAAGATCAAAGAGCACAGCTTTCGGTATGGATTACAACTCAATGTAAAGAAAACAAAAATCCTCTCACCACTGGACCAATAAACAACATTCTTATCAACGAAGAAAAGATTGAAGTTGTCAAGGACTTCATTCTTCTTGGATCAACTATCAGCACTCATGGAAGCAGCAGTCAAGAGAACAACGTATTGCATTAAGCAAATGTGCTGCATATGATCTTTTGCAAGTGTTGAAGAGCAAAGATGTCAGCTTGAGGACTAAGGTGCGCCTGACCCAAGCCATGGTATTTTTAAAAACCTCATATGCATGTGAAAGCTGGACAGTGAATAAAGAAGACCATAGAAGAATTGATACTTTTGAGTCATGGTGTTGGAGGAGAATATTGAAAGTGCCATGGGCTGCCAAAAGAGCCAATAGATCCATTTTGGAAGAAGTGCAGCCAGAGTGCTCCTTAGAGGCCAAGATGACCAAACTTCGTCTCTCATACTTTGGACATATTATCAGGAGGAACCAGTCACTGGAGAAGGGTATCATGTTTGGTAAGGTGGAGGGTCAGAGGAAAAGAGGAAGGATGGATTGGCCAAGTGGCAGCATCGATGGACTCAAGCATGGCAACAATAGTGAGGTTGGCCCAGGATCAGGCAGTGTTTCATTCTGCTGTGCATAAGGTCGCTATGGGTCAGTACTGACTCGATGGCACCTAACAACAAGGCAAGGCAATGTGCTTTACACACATTCTTGTCATTTAATCTTCAAAAGTTTTATAGAGGTGGCATTCAACGACTTAGTGCTTGAAACATTAGCCTAAGAATACACAGTAAGGCACGTAATGAATCAAGACTCAAACCGGCTATATGACTGACTCCAGGGCCTGCATTCTATCTAACCCCTTCTCCATGTTCTTAATTCATAATTAGAAAATATATGCTTTTTTTGGTTAAACTTAATCACAACACTGAGAAGCATTTTAAGCTTAAATGAAAAAAGTTGGTGCCTATAAGTTATTAAAGTTTTTCAATCCCACTTAATTGATTCATCTTAAATGAATATAGTTAAAAACAAAATTAGCTTTTTATATACACAACTGTACCTATTACCAACCTACCTACACATATAAACACATAAACATAACAAACAAAAATATTTACATACTGATTAATTTTCCTGCCATGTCTTTGTTGGACCTTGATTCCTTGGGGTGTTTATAGAGATACATTACTGCTCGTCCAATTCCACTATGTTTCAGAGTCTCCTGGCTCACACTAGGTAGCTAGAAAACATAAACACATATACACATATTAATCACTCAGAAATTTGGAAACTTGCTAATCTATTCTAGAAGATCTCCAAGACCTCTTTAATGAGCACAAAAGAACAACTAACAGAAATATCCATTTTCAGGATCTGTACAAATTGAACCCAAAGACACTTTGTGTTCACATTTTATTAGTTATGTCCCTTTTTTCCACCCACTCTTCTGGCAGACTACAGCAGAGAGAATGTACAAAATGCATGGCAAAATATATAGGTTCTGATAATTAATACATATCACATCAGACAATTAATAAAGAGCAAATAGATTATTTGTTTCTAACCTCTTGCAGAATCTTCAACAGCTCCTCCCGAATCTTTAGTGCTGGCAAACTCCTATCTGGTAAAGGTGAGAGCCATTCTTTGATGGCAGACATCACACCACTGTCGATAAATGTTTCTTTTAGGTCCTGCCTGCAATAATAACATTTTTTGTCTTTAAAGTGAGGGCTACGAACTACGGTTCTTCTCTATCTTCCTCTGACTTTTGTTTCAAATTTGGTGACATATCAAAAGGTGCTTTTAAAGAGTTACTCATTAAATTCAGTATTTTATGAATACTTCTCTGGCTTCAAAAGCAATATAAAATTTAAACCTTACTTTCAATAAACACAAACACTTGACAGGCAAAGATGACTACTTAAACACCTCCTTGTCAAAAACACAAACTACTAAGTCAATGCTGGTATAAATGGTACAGACAAGAATAAGCACCTGAATATCACGACTAAAAAAAATTGTTTAATCAGAACAGTAAATACTCAAACTTTTTAAGGCAGTGGAGAATTTAAAATTATGTTATTCTTTGCAGGGCACCAAGGAGAATACCAGCAAAAAAACCCGCCAAATCATAAAACACTGATATTTTAAATTCTATTTATAGAATAAAAGTTATGTTAATTTCACTTATGTTAAAAGAAAGTATGATATGTTATATATATGAAACCTGCCAAAGACAGTTTAATGCTTGATGAGAGGTGCAAGAGCTGTGTGTGGTTGCCTGAACTGCACACAGCAACATGCTCCTTCCCATACCTCCCAGTCCCCATAACCTTGCCCTGTAGAAAAGGGTGGAAGAAACCACTTACTATGATGTTTTGGAGGACAAATCCAGTGCTACGCCCCAGGAAAAGTTGAAAAAAACTACAGGAAACTGATAAGAATCCTAATGAAGGCAAGAAATTGAAATAGATTTCTCAAAGCTTATGAAGTGCTCTCTGATGCAAAGAAAATTGAATTATATGACAAAGGAAGTTTTGGTTCCCCCATGGACATCTTTGATATGTTTTTTGGAGGTGGTGGAAGGACGCATAAAGAAAGGAGAGGGAGAATGTTGTACATCAACTCTCAGGAACACTTGTTAAGTGCTATCCTGTCAGTTCTGACTCTTAGCAACTCTGTACAGGGTTTCCAAGGAGCAGTGGGCGAGACTGAACTGCTGACCTTGCAGTTCAAACCGATCTTATGGTCCAATGAATGCTTATCCTACAGTGCCATACCAGAAAATTTATATAATGGTGCAACAAGAAAATTAGCTTTGCAAAAGAATGTGATCCATGGCAAATGTGAAGGTCAAGGTGGTAATAAAAGAGTAGAGTGCTGTCCTAATTACTGAGGTGTTGTTTTTGCATGCCATGGAGTCGGTTCCGACTCACAGCGACCCTGTACAGGGTTTCCGAGGCTGTAAATCTTTACGGGAGCAGAAAGCCTCATCTTTCTCCCACGGAACAGCTGATAGTTTCGAACTGCTGCCCTTGCGGTTCGCAGCCCGATTCATAACCACTACGCTACCAGAGCTCCTTAATTACTGAGTTACTGGGATGCAAATACAAATTCATCAGATAGAACCTTGAATGGTTCAGCAAACTCAGTCTGTATGCATGGAGTGACAGGGTCATGGGCAAGGCACCACCCCTAAAGATAGATGTACAGTTCACATTGATAAAGGCATGAAAGATGGCCAGAAGATAGCACTCCCTGGTGAAGACCAAAGGAGTCAGGCAATATAATTATTGTTTTAGATCAGTAGGACCATGCTGTTTTTACTAAACATGATGAAGACTTTTTCATGTGTCTAGACATAAAGCTGGATGAAGCATTGTATGGATTCCAAAAGCCAGTATCTGCTCTTGACAACAAAACCATAATCATCACCTCATCCAGGTGATATTGTCAAGCATGAGAATATTTAATGTGTGCTAAATGAAGGTATACAAGTTTATCATAGACCATATGCAAAGGGGTGCCTAATCATCTAATTTAAGGAGCTCTGGTACCACAGTGATTACAAGTCGGGCTGCTAACCTCAAGGCCAGCAGTTCGAAACTACCAGTCGTTTCATGGAAGAAAAACAAAGCTTTCTACTCCTGTAAAGATTTATAGCCTTGGAAACCCTATGCAGGGTCGCTATGAGTTGGAATCGACTCCATGGCACACCATCACCACCTATCATAGAATTTAAGATAAACTTTCCTGAGAGTGGCTTTCTCTTTCCTGATAAAACTGTCTTTGCTGGAAAAACTCCTACCTGAGAGGAAGGAAGTAGAAGAAATTGATGAGATGGATCAGGTAGAAATGGTGAACTTTGATGCAAGCAAGGAAAGACAGCGCCATCACCCCAGAGGTGGGGTTCAGTGTTAGAACTGTTAATGAGGGTAAGTGCCACTTACTGTTGGCATTTTAAATACAGTAGTGATTAAGCAAAGGACTGAAATCATAATATGCTCACTACTTGCTTTTGTTTTAATATTCAACTACAGTAGTGTTTTAAAGTTAAATGAATAAACTTAACTATAAAAGCTCTGAAAAGAAAAAGGTAGTTTTCTAGTTGCAGACTTTCTTGACCAAGTTGTTGGTTCACTGATATACTAGCACATTTCATCAGCCATCAAAATCAGTTTAATCAGAAAACAACGAATATGAAAATTGCACATAGAAGAAGCCCCAATGTCACAAAGGCTCACAAGAAAACTGTGCACACAGAAAAGTATGCACAAAGAAAACATGTCGTAGAAAAGTTAGGGTTAAGGTCCAGGTTCAGGTTCAAGTTTATTTGTACTATTGTGAATACAGGAGTTTTTCTATGAATGCATTTTTCCATGACCAGTTTTCTGTGTGGGCACTTTCCTTGTGTGCATTTATGACAGTTATGCTTTTCCTGTGCACAATTCCTGTGTAGACTTTTTCATATGTATGTGTTTTTTTAACAGAACCCAAAATAAAGTAGTGATTTAGTACATAGAGAAGCAAAGTTGACGCTTAAAAGTTCAGGAACATGCGAAAAATGAATGAAAAGTGCTTGGTTACAAGGTTCTATTAAGAAAAGGCATCATTATTCCAATGACATATTTATGATACAAGAGGACTCAAATACATTTGGTGGTCATATAAACCTTGTACCATCTACTTTCTTCCAAACAGTGTCTCCCTGGGCTTGCTCTGTTCCTATTCAAACTGGAAAAAAAGATGCAACTTACCAGAGCCCAAACTATCTAAAAAAACCCAAAATCAGCAGTTACTAAATTTTATTCATTATTATCACTTTAGTTGTTTGTTCTTTTTGTATCAAGCATCAAAGGTTTAAGAAAAATTAATGAGAAAGAAACAATTTAGAAAATTCTATCCACTATTATTGTTCTGGAAATTGACAGAAGGCTATCATTATTCAATATTTACAAAAGACTAGTGCATACTCTGAATATCCCATTTTTGTTGCTGTGTGCTGTCCAGTTGGTTCCAACTCATAGTGACTCTGTGTAGGGTTTCCAAAAGCAACTGGTGGGTTTGAGCTGCTGAATTCATGGCTACCAGTCCAGTGCTTATCCGATAGCATCACACCAGGGCTCCAACATTCCATTAAAAGGGGGGGAAAATTAGAAAGCAAAATACTTACTTCTTAAGGTGCATAACAACGGTAGGTAACAAAGTTAATTTTTTCAGTGCTGGCTTCTTTTGATTGTTTAACTGCCTGTCTTCCTATAAAAGGGTGGGAAGGAGAGAAAAATGATTTTTTTAAAATAGCAGTACTATTTATTACTAACCACTATAATTCTAAACCTTAAAATGAAAGAAACTGTCAGTTTCTCAGAGAAACAACTTTTCCTATAAGAAAGAATAACTGAAGAATGGATTTTTTACAGAGTCCCAGACTCTGAATCTGTGTTGCTCAAATCCCCAAAAAACTACTAGAGCAAATGCCTTTAACAATTACAAGTTAAGATAAATCATTTTTATTTAAAATAGTGGTATAACGGCTATGTTTTCAAAGAGTCTATTCAAGGTACAAGTTAAAGTCAGGGAAATTTGGTTTATATCAGGAATATTTTTTCAGGTATGAGGCTAATATGAAAATGGGATGTTATCATCAAAGATGGGTTACAGTATCTACTTGGACATTTTTTTCTTAATGTTTTCATTATGGAAAATTTAAAATATATACAAAAGTAGAATACAGAAAAACACACCCCTGTTATATACCTATCACCCAGTTTGAATTATTAGCCACACATAATCAGTCTTAATTTAGCTATCTAACTAGTTTTCCTTCTACTCTTTAATTATTTTCATTGAATCCATAATACTTCAGTAAGTTGTCTCTAAAAGATCAGGACATGCTTTATATATATGTAAAATGTAGCCAACTAAAACATTTAATATATTTTTAAAAATGCAATGAGTTAAATGCAGTCCCTTGATAAGAGGTGAGAGTTGAACAAAGGAGTTCTTAGCACCTTTTATAAATTAAAATTACTTACATGTTTAAAATTTAGAAAAGTATGCTTTATTACAAAAAACAAAGTATATTAAATATAGCTTAAGTAGGAGTTAAGCTCAAAGAAGAAAAAAGTCACCTAGCCAATTACATGAGGGAAAGAAAAGATGAGTCTAGAAGTGGACCACTCTAACCTCAGCAGCTTCATTCATCTTGATGATCATGGCGCTCACAACATCATCTGCATCACTAATAAAAGTGCCACCATCACGGTTGCGTCTGCGCTTGCCACTCATGCTTTTCTTCCGCTGCAGCATCATTTCAAAATCTGACATGAAATCCATACTAAACAGCAACACAAAAAAAGCTGAAAAGACCTAAATACAAGTTATCCTTTACATACATATTTCATTTTTATCACAAGTAAGACCCACCAACTTCCTCAATACTAATGAAGTGCTACCTTCTTTTTTAAAAAAGTGCAAGGAGCTGTGTTGTTGTTATTGTCAAGTCAGCTCCAAATCATGGTGATCTTATGTGCTAACAAAATGTTGCCTAATCCTAAACCACCTATTCACAATTCAACTTTTTCTCCATTTATCATGAAGTTGCTTATCAATCCAATTTTGAGGATTTTCTTTTTCTTCACATTCAGGAGTAATCCTTTCATCAGCAAGTGCTTAATGTCATCTTCGTTTTTTGGCAAGCTGTGTCATCTGCAAACGGCAGTTAATCAGTCTTGCTCTAATCCTGATGAAGTAGTTTTCTTCATAAAGCTTATCTTCCTAAATTACGTGTACAGTATACAAATGAATTTAGGTGAAAGGATACAACCCTGCCATACACCTATGCCAATTTTAAATCATGCAGCATCCTTTATATTGTTCGAATGCCTTGTGATCTATGTAAAGACTCCACAAGAGTATAATCAGTGTTTTGGAATTACTGTTCTTCATAAGGTTCCCCATACAATCAAATTATATCACATATTTGATAAAATACAGGCAAACATCTTTCTAGTATTCTCTGGTTTGGACTAAGATACATCTGAAATTAGCAGTGAAAACCCTTCCCCACGTTCTTTTCTGAATATAGCTTGGCCTTCTAGAAGTTCTCTCCTGATATACGGCTACATTCATGTTTTAATTACCTTTAGCAAAATTTGTCAGCATGTGATATTAATGATACTGTGCTATAATTTTCTCATCCCCTTTGATCACCTTTTCTTATATCTCTTACTGTGGCTGCCCTTTCAACTTTCTTACAGTAGACAAGTCTTTCAGTGTTGCATCTGTTTGTTGAGCAAGTCAGTTGATATTCTGTGAATTCCTCGAGTCTTGTTTTCACCAATGCCTTCAATACAGCTTGAACTTCTTACTTCAGTAACAGATATTGCTTTCAGTGGTTACTGAACATCAACCAGTTCTTTTTGGTAAAATAACCCCGTGTAGTCCTTCTACCTTCTTTTTTAAAAAACTGTTTTATTTTGAATTATGAGATAGTTTACATGGGAGAACATTTGTTTTACATTCATCCTATCATACATCGTTTCATTGTCATAGTTACAATCCCCTCCATGAATCATCAACCAACCAAAGGGTACACCCCACAAGCCTGGCCCCTGGTCATCAGCACACAGTCTCTCTCCCTCTCTGGGTCTAGAGCTCTCAGCTACTCCATCTCTCCATGTCATCGTCTCTGCCTCCATCTCTGGCGTCACTGTTTCTCTGGGTAGGGTCCCGCACTCCACTCTTATCCCTTGATGGTCCCAGGGGACTCCGCATCTGGCCTGCAAAGTCAACCACTCCCCTCCTTTTGCTACAAAATGTCTATCTATACATTTCCAACCCTCACAGTCAGTCCTGATAGTAATTATTCACTATTGTACCACATGAGTACTATCCCCAGCTCCTTTCATCAGTCTCGCCCAGACAGATTGGATACTTCCATCTTCTTTTGATGCTTCTTGAATTTTTGCACATAAATCCTTCAAAAATGCAATTCAAGTTTTGAATTTATCTTCCATTTTCAAACTGAGAAATGATGATTGTTTTCTTCCTTTTGGGTTTTATAACTCTATGTCTTTGTACATGCCATCAAAATACTTGGTCTTCTCAAGATGCTCTTTGAAATCTTTTGTTGAGCTCTTTTGTCTCATTTCTTTTCTTCTATTCCTTTTAGGTTCTGTAGGAGCAAGTTTCAATCATTCCTGACATCCACTTTCGTCTTTTCCTTTTTTCCGTCTTTTTAATGACCTCTTTCTTTCTTCATGTGTTGATGTCTTTCTGCAACTCTTGTGGTCTTTGGTTCAGTTCATCAAATCTATTCTTGAGATGGTCTCATCGTCCAGAGCCAATGAAGAAACTCATTATCATCAGTCACGATAAAGCTGACAGGAACTACTCCTGCGTAAGTTCATGCTGAAGCTGAAGAAAACAGAAGCAATGCCACAAAAGTCGAAGTACAACCTTTAATATATTCTGGCTGAATTTAGAGACCATCTCAAGTGGTTACTATGTTTTAAAAAGAATGGATCATCCTAGACATGCTCAACTTCTGTGCTATTCTGTTGTATATTAAATGCTACTCATTTTAGAAGAGAGCATGGTAGCTCTGTAGAGTAAGTACTGACTTGTCAATCACAAGGTTGGCAGTTCAAGCCCACCAATGACTCCAAGGGAGAATGATGAGGCTTTCTACCCCCACCAAGATTTACAGCCTCAGAAACCTTATACAGCAGGGGTGGAAAACGTCCAGCCCACAGGCTGTATTGTTGCTGTTGTTAAGTGCCATCGAGTCGGTTCTGACCCATAGCAACCCTGTATAGGGTTTCCAAAGATCAGCTGGTGAGCCTGAACCGCCAACCTTGCAGTTCAAATGGCTATGCAGTCTGGTGCATTAACCCACAGCGCCACACCAGGACTCTGTATAAGACCCAAGAAATCATTTGGTCTGGCCCTGTCAAGGCAACCATAGTTCCAGCCATCACACTGATATTAAATGTCATCGAGTCTAGTGACCCTGGACAGGGTTTCCAAGGAGCGACTAATGAGCTTGAATTGCCAACCTTGCAGTTCAAATCAACTTTGCAGCCCGGGCACATTAACCCATAGCAACACTCCAGGATTCTATCACATTACTTTTGTTGTTGTTAAGTGCTACAGAGTCAGTTCTGACTCAAAGTGACCCTGTACAAGGTTTCCGAGGAGTGGCTGGTGAACTTGAACCGCTGACCCCGTGGTCCATCACATTAGGGGTGAGTTAATTAAAATTTTAACCAAATATTGTTGTTGTTAAGTGCCATTAAGTCGGTTCTGGCCCACAGTGACCCTGTATAGGGTTTCTGGGTAGTGGCTGGTAGCTTAAACTGCTGACTTTGTGGTTTAAACCAACTTTGCAGTTCAGCGCATTAACCTACAGCACCACACAAGCACTCCTAACCAAGTACGACAGGCTAATTTTTAAGTTGTTGGTTTTTTTTTTCAAGGTTAGTAGTTCAAGCTCATCAGTCACTCCTTAGAAATCCTATACAGGGTCACTAACGGTTGGAATCGACTCGACGGCACTTAATAACAACAATGTTGTATGGCTCAAGAACAATATTATAAATTTTGGCAGAAAAGAGCTCTCCACCCCTGCTATACCGGGTTGCTATAAGTCAGAACTGACTCCATAGCACTTAACAACTAGTTTTGGCCTTTTCATATATCATATTCACATTTGTGTATATTAGTTTAAGAAGGAGTTTTCATTTACGGGACACAACTATGATATTTCAATTTTAGTTCTCTTTCTTTTTTGGAATAGGAGGGTGTTCAGTTTTATGAGTATTTTTATTATTTATATATAATGCACTACAGTGAACTACTTAACAAGACCCTTCTAGCCATTGTTTTTATAACTACCACTGACTGACTAGCTTTGTTGTTTTTAACTGCTGTGGAGTTGGTTCCAACTTATGGAGCCCTGTATACGGTTTCCAAGTAACAGCTGCTGAGTTTAAACTAAAACACTGTGGTTCAAACTGACCTTGCAATCCAATGCTTATAATACAGCACTACACCAGGATGTTGTTGTTGTTTTAGGTGCCATCAAGTCAGGGACTACACAAATTATTAGATGCTTGTGACTCACCAAGGAGATTAAATAGTTTGCCAATAAACTAAGAGGCATCTTTGTGGAGTGGGACCATTCAAATAAGTTCCATGGAACCCTAAGAAGAGAATTGGTCAATCCTACTAGTTTTAAAAGGAGCCATCCCAAAATTAGAAAAGGGAAGATCTCAATATAGTCAAGAAAAAAGAGCTAGAAGGGGAGCATACCCTGTGGACACGAGATTCAGCAGACAGCTATAACACCAGAGACAGAGAAGTAGTGGCAGACAAGGAGGGGAAACAGGCAACAAAACCAGGAGTTCAGCAAAAGATGGTACAGTGGACTTCCCAGCCCATGGAGCAAGAAAGGTGAATGCCTTTAGGAAGGAAGCTTGCTGGTGGGAGCTAGGATTGCCAACCCACAGACCCAGAGCTGAGTACCTTTGGGCACAGGTTTACAGGTGGAATGGGGTGCCTTTGGGCATTTATTAGTTGTTTTCATAGCGACTTCATAGGGTTTCCAAGGAGTGGCTATTGAGTTTTAACCACCAACTTTGTGGTAAAGTGATTATCCTATAGTGTCACAACAGGACTCCTTGGGCTTTTATGTTGTCATTAAGTGCTGTAGAGTCGGTTCCAACTCACAGTGACCCTGTATAGGGTTTCCAAGGAGCAGCTGGTGAGCCTGAACAGCTGACCTTGCAGTTCAAATGGCTTTGCAGTCTGGCACATTAACCCACAGCACCACACCAGGACTCCTGGGCATTTATAGGCAGAACTAAATGAGTTTTGTAACACTCGCCAGAGTAGGGCAGAGGCCAAAGAGCTAAGAGACACCAAGTACTTGAGTGTGTTTGTGGACACTGCTGAAAAGAGGCTATCCTGGTCAAAGAACTGTATCCTGCTTGAATCTTTCCTTATCCTGAGCTGTAAACTGTTAAGTCCTAATAAACCCCATAATCATGAGATCTATGTGGCCACTGCAATGAATTTTTAAATCAACACAGAAGCAGAGTGTAATGGGAGGGACCTGTTAGTGTCAGAATTGGTAAAAAAAAAAAAAAGTTGGAGGATGGAGGCATATTTAAACCTCCACCTCAAAGGAATCTCCCATTGTGAAGTTGCTGTTAAGTGCCAACAAGCTGTTTCTGATATAGCGCCCCTGTACAGGTTTAAAAAAAAGAGGCAAGTGAATCTGAAACACTGACCTTGCAGTATGCAGTACAGTGTCTATTCTAAAGTGCATCAAATCTATTCTTGAGAGGGTCTCATCATTAAGAGCCAGTAGAGAAACTTCGTATGATCAGTCAAGATAAACCTCACAGGAAACTGTTGTTAAGTGCCGTCAAGTCAGTTCCACCTCATAGTGACTCTGCATAGGATTCCTGAGTCAAGAAATCAAACGACATGCTGCATTAGGCAAATCTGCTGCACAAGATCTCTTTAAAGCGTTCAAGTGCAAAGATGTCAGTCTGAAGACTAAGGTGCACCTTACTCAAGTCACGGTATTTTTAATAGCCTCCTATGCATGTGAAAATTGGACAATAAATAAGGAACACCAAACAAGAATGGATGCATTTGAGTTATAGTGTTGGAAAGGCATACTACAGTACCATGCACTGCCTGAAGAACAAACAAATGTGTGCTGGTAGAAGCACATTCTTGCTCCTTAAAAGCTATCATAGTATGACTTCATCTCTCAGACTTTGGACATATTATCAGGAGGAACCAGTCCTTGGAAAAGGACACCATGCTTGGTAAAGGGGAGAGTCAAAGAAAAAGAGGTAGATCCCCAAGGTGATGGATCGGCACAGTGGAAGCAGCAATGAATGGGCTCAAGAGTTAATGATTGTGAAAACGGCACAGGACCAGGCAGTATTTTGTTCTCGTGTGCGTAAGGTGAATGAGTCGGAACTGACTCTATGGCAGCTAACGATAGCAATGTTATTTTTCCGAAGTGTTTACTTGATGAGCCATAAATTAAGGATCTAGAGCCAAATAAATGTAATTGAATAAATTAAGATATCTGGGCACCAGGCAAATAAAACAATACCAAATAATTAAGTAACAGCACTAAATATAGAGAAGTAGAGGGGGAAAATGGGACAGATTCTCTCCTATACTTAACCAGGAACTCAGTAAGAAAATACAAAGCCTCTATACCTCAAATCTTTTGAGTTGTCTTCAACAAATTCTTTTTAAAAAAAACAAACTTACTGTTTTCCTCTCTTTATGTTATCATCAGAATCTGAATCTTCTGCATTTTTTATGTGTGTTTCACCTTTTTCTTCTTCCAAATCTTCTTGGTTAAAACCCTAAAAGTCAGGGTAAGTTAAGCAAAGTTACAACAAGCTCCTTAAGGATTCTCTTTATATTGTTTTTAATTTTCTGCATGTTTTAAAAATACATATACATAGGAAAAAAAAAACAGTTATAAAAAACTATACAGCTAAGTTCTCTCCTACCCTTACAACCAATACTACCAATTTTCTTTTAGATGTGAAGGAGCTCAAAATAAGTACTTGGTCTAAGGAGAGACTTCTGCCAAAGATGCAGGCCTTAGTGCTTTTTTTTCCCTCTCCTATTTACTGCTTATTCTGAGCTGACTTTCAAAAGTCATCTACCAAGCATACCTCAGGAAGTCTATAGGAACCCTCCTTCCTTCCTCTCACAGAATGCTCCCTAACAATATCCCTAAGATAGGCTATTAGACTCAAACTTAACAATTAGCAGACTAATGTTAAAGATTTTTTATTGTGTTGTGTCTGTTAAAGCATGCTTTTATAAATGTCAACCAATCAGATTATTCTTGTAAATTCCTGGATTCTCTGTATTTAAATTCAGTGAGAATTTCCTTTTGCTGCAGTACTTTTGTGATGCCTTACAGGGGACTGTCTGTCCTAGATTATTTTGTTTCTTCAAAAATGTAAAGTTTTGTTAAATTTTAATAAAAAGTCCCAGTTTTCTATTCGATATTTCTTGTTGTCAGAAGTGGGATTATTTTCAGTAGCCCCAAGTGGACAAGGATCTGGAGTTCAGGCACCAAAATGAATCTACAAAAGTTCATCCACTTCTATGAATTCTCAGGACAGTCTAGAGTAAATTCCATTGGAATCTTGAGCTCCACTTTCTTGCGTTGAGCTCTGAGAATTTTTGAATTCTAGTTTTGTTTTGTCAATTTCCATTTTGGTCTTATTAAGATTTGTTGTCAAATTTTGGCTCTGCTACTGGCAGTATTATGAAGTTCTAAGTAATTTATTATCCTAATTTTTGAGTTTGAGAAACTCAGGCTCTATAAACCAGCAAGATATAAATAGTACAGGATGACTAGTAAATGCCAGTAGGGAAATTGCCAGCCATGAAAGATCAGTTCAAGACTCCTGTGTCAGGATAATCCAGTTCAGGGGATGGGCCAGAAGCATAAGGCACATACTGGTGCAAACAAAATACTGTCCAAACCACACGGAGATTTCCATCAGAATTTTGTGTCTGAGAGTCCAAAACACTTTGAATAAACTCAAACCTTCTTTTAAGATGTTGTTCTGAAGTGTCATCAAGTTGGTTCTGACTGACAGTCACTATATATAGGGTTCCTGAAGAGTGGCTGTTGGATATGAACCACCAACTTTGCAGTTAGCAGTCCAGTGCTTATATCCTACAGTACCACCAGGAAAGCCATGTCTGGAGATAATGGGTCATTCCCTACTGAGTCTCTGGCCCAAAATAGGGGCAAACACTGTGGTTCAGATGTTTGTACCCATCTGCTATGCATTTTCTCACTAGACAGTCTGGGAAATGGGTAGCCACTTACTTTACGGTTCTTTTGAATTATATAAACTGAATCTTCTGTGTAGCCAGTTAAAAATGAAAGGCTCAATGAAACAGAAACAATGAGATGCTTTTTTTTTTTAAATTGGAGTTCTGAAACTTCTAGATGTAATGAAAGTAAAATTATTTCTCTAGGGGAAAATGTTTCAAAATTATATCAAACAGGGATTTGCAATGGAGTCCTGGTGCGACTCTATAGGGTAAGAACTGGATTGCTAATCAAAAGGTAGGTAGTTCAAACCCACCATTCGCTCCTTGGAAACCTTCTACAGGGTTATTATGAGTTGGAACTGAAACCACGGCACTTTAGCAACAAAAACTCAAGCTGTCCGGGGATCATCTCCACTGCTAGCTGACTTTCTTTTGTATCCTTTTCTGCCTCCATGCTTCTGTGACGCTACTAAAGATTTTACTAATACTTTGTCTGAACTTCCTTTTTCTCCAAAGAATCTGAGTAAATGAAAGCTATTACTAAAATGCCTTTTAAAATCCATCCCAGTGTAGATACTGAAGATCCTCCCATATTACTATTATCCCTTGGACATGTCCGAGATTACATAAATTGCTGATGTTTTCCAAAACTGATGAAAGACCCTTACAAGTATGCTAAGGAATTGAAAATTCTTGTTGAGTGGAGTTCACAAAAGCAATGTTCTACATTATATTTTAGTGAGTAGCAACTGAGATCTTAAAGCTCAAAAGTGGAGCTGCTCCAGAAGTGGGCAAGAGGTGTAAAGATGGTTTACACCTCGCATGAACAAGTTGTGGATAGCTGGGATTGATCCATTATGTCCTGGGGCTACTGGAACACTTAATGCAGTATTCATATTTCTCCTAAATTCTGAACTTTCAGCTCTAGCAAGAAGGCACTGACTAGATTAGAAAGCAGCTCTCACGGCAGATCTGGCTAGTATAGTTTACGAGCTTTCTCACACTTTGGAAGCTAATTATAACAATTACAATCTCCTAACCAGCAGAACGTAGTCCTGGCGTGGCGCTGTGGGTTAATGCGCCAGACTGCAAAGCCATTTGAACTGCAAGGTTGGCGGTTCAAGCTCACCAGCTGCTCCTTGGAAACCCTTTACAGGGTCGCTATGGGTCGGAACTGAATTGATGGCACTTAACAACAACTAGCAGAACAAATTGAAACCTTCTGGAAGCACTAAACCGAGCACTTGCAATTACTGCAAGAAACCCAGGCATTACAAAAAGGATTGCTATAAATTATATACTTAACAACAACTGAAACTGGCTTAACTACATTAAATTCTCTTAATACTGGATTAAGTCTCTTCATCACTTATCGTATTAGAGGAACGTTTTATAAACTTTTTAAAAATATGTTTGAACCCACTATACAGCTTTACTTGTTATGCAAAAGGTCATACATTTTGAAGAAATAGAAATTCCTTAAGGGAACAGCTGGGCTCTACACTTAGGTCAATGCCCCTGTCTGCCAATTATTCCTAATTTCATCATGCTTTCACATATACATTCTTTAAAAAAAAAATTCACAGAAGTAGAGGTTCAAGCTGTCTTCATGGTGAAGACATTGGTACTGGGTTTTGGCTATTACATGATAGTGACCTGGGTCTTTGGGGATTAAGGCAAGCAGCCGTCAATGAAAAGATGGTGCCCCACTTTATCTAGGGTCTTAAGAGCCTATCTGGTGACCATCGAACACAGACAAAAAAGCCCTTGAAGAAGACAAGTTATTCCTTTGTGGGCAACATGACTCCTCCTTACCCTGAAGATACGGTTCCATATATAGAAAGATGGAAAGTTGTTATGTCCATGCAGAAGTCACTCTTAAGAATATTGATTGGTGAATTTCTACAGACATTCTTGATCAGAAGTGGCACTGTGAAGCTTTAAAAATTAGGTGCTTGGTATAAAGGCAAGCTTCTGCCACAGATGTAGGCCTTATTCCCTTTTCTTTTCTGTCTACTACACATTCTGAGCTTTCAAACATCATCCAGGTATCTCAGGAAGTGTGCAGATACTCTCCTTCTTTCCTCTCCCTTCCTCTCATACTAGGAAGAACATTCAGTTCTGACTGGCCCTCTGTTAAGTGACTCAAACTTTTAAATTATTGTTGTTAAGTGCCGTCGAGTCAATTCCAATCCACAGGTACCCTGTATAGGGTTTTTAATTAGCAGACTAATATTTAAGGGGGTTTGCCATTGTCTTTGTATACTTTAAATGTCAACCAGGAGACAGTCAAATATAAGTTTATTTGTATTCTTGTACAGTGCATATGATTTGGCATTTTTCCTATTTTTCAGAGCAATTTGTTTGAACTGGTGTAACCTCTACAGTGTATATTCTCAACAATAACAAAAATTAATTATACAAAAACCTTGCAAAGCATACACTACAATTTATCAAGCTTATGATAAAATGCTATTTAGACTATTGAATTCATTTTTTTAAAGTCATCTGGAATTCTTTCTCTGTGAATTCTCAATATTCTATGACCAATTTCTGTTAGGTTGTTCATCATTTTCCCACTGGTGTACAAAAACACTTTAAAAAATTAGGGAAATTAGTCCTCCATGACAGAAACTGCACAATCCCCAATTATTTATATAGTTTGGATTTACTTTTCATAATGTTTTCCAGGCATAATTTTTTCTCATTTTTATGTAACTGAAATGGTTAATCTTTTCTTTACAGCATTTAATTTTTGTGCCACACTTAAACAACCTTCCCAAATGGTTCACCTATTATGCTGTTTTTCTCACTAAACTGAACCTATAACCAATTTACAATGAACTCCTCAACAAAACTAGGATTGTTGTTAAGTGCCGTCGAGTTGGTTGCGACTCACAGCGACCCTGTGTAAGGTTTCTGAGGTGCAGCTGGTGAGTTTGCACAGCAGACCTCGCAGCTCAAACCGTCCTTGTGGCCTAGTGTATTAACCTGCAGTACTGCACCTGATCCAGGACTAGGACAGTACAATCTTGCAATTAATTAAATGAGTATGAGCTCCATGAGGGCAATACCCACAGTAGTCTGGCATACAGCCTCCAGAATATTCATTGAGTGGTTTTTTTCCATCCTGTCTTCTTTAAGTTTACTTTTTTAGTTTTACCAACTTGAATTAGAGTCTAAATTCATCTACTCACATTCTCTTGCTTTAGCAATAATACAAATCCCTTCTTTTGACCCAAAAACTGTTTAACAAGAAGGTTTTAAACTTCTAAATAGCACGGGTATTTTGGTTGATAATTTTATTATAAAATTTCAATTTCATTGCTTTATATTCATAAAATATCTACCCTTTGCAAATTTTTTTTATTTTTTGGGGGAAAGCATGGTTGAAAGATATACAGTCAAAGAATAGTCAAGTCCACCTTGAAAACTAAGACTAGAAACATAAACTCCCAATTATCAAATTATGTATGAGAGTTGCAAGGATACATAGAGACCAGCAGGAAAGGTAGTTTAGATACACATGACTCAAGACAAAGATGGCACTGCAGAT